CCTCTGCACCTGCAGGGTAGGGGGCTCTATGCTAACGCTTGCTACCCTGAGTTGAACAGAATTCTTCTGATTTAGAATGACTTGCTTAAAGAAAGTTACCTTGGTTATTTTAGCAGGACATCATAACAAACCCTCGCTAGATGCCAGTGGTGACTGTTTTCTTCTTTAATAGTTAATGAAACTTTGTTCTAGACTTTTGCTAGAGAATGACAAAATGCTACCAATTGGTTTTTTCTGGAATCCATATCTTTCTTCCATTTTTTCTTCCAAAACTGAGCTACCCCTGCCCCCATCCCTTCTTGATGTACTCTCTGTCTTCCTGTCTTCTCTCCATGGGAAGAATTTTGACCTCCCGTGGCACAGAGCTGTTCCAGGCTCCAGAGAGATGGGACGGCAATGGGCACAGGCACTCTGGTTGCCCACGAAGGAGCTGTGTAGGCCCATGGAAGGGCAGGTGTAACCCAGCCGTGTGGCCACACCATGTGGTTCCCACGAGGAAGAGACACCACCTGCCACCCATGAGACTTCCCCCTGCTGTTAGGGCCTGCAAAGAGCCAGGCACAACAGAGGCTGAGCCCTCAGGTTTTCTTCCCTTTCTTCCGTTCGGTTTCCCTCCCCGAAATCGATGCTTTAGAGTCACTATAACTAAGTCCTGGAGCTAGCGCGAGAGTTAAGGGTCCAGAAGGCAGCGGTGCCAGCCTCCCCCAGGCGCTCTTCCACCAGCTGTGCAGGGCTGCACGGAGGACACACCCACGAAGGTCCAGCGCCAGGACCTTCCCGCTCGGTGCTCGACAAGCGTGAGCGTGAATTCCCACCACCCTGCTCCGCCCAGCCAGGACCCCGTCCTTCCATGGGAATTCCTCATAACCTTGAAATATACCAGTCATTTTGTTACCTGAAATTGTTTCCCTTCTCTTTTCCAACATTAATGAAGCAGATTGCTGAAGGTTCACAGGCACCGATTAAAGATGTGTGAGGATTTAGGCCCCAGGACCTTTGCTAATGCTTGTAGCAGAAAAGTGGAAACAGCCCAAATACCACACAAAGGAGGGTTTACATATGTCACGGCACACCCATCCAACGGACCACCGGGCTTAAAAATCCCGCTGTCAGAGAGTAGATGGAGTGCTAATGGTAAAGGAAAAAGAAAGCGAGCTAGAAAAGCACAAAGCCGTGCACACAGCGTGGGGAAGTTTCAAAAGATTTCTTGACAGCAGTTACAACGGGTGGAATTATGAACTGATTTTTTTAAATTTTCCTCTCTTTTCCTTATATGTATTTTCCTACAGAAATCACATTGCTTTTGAAATAAGGAGTGGAGGATAATAAAAGTTTCTCTTTGTGAGTGAGCGAGAACTAGGAAAAGCCCTTCCCTGGAGGATGCTTCCACGGCTTGTGCTGCTGAGGGGGTGTGAACCGGCGGGAGTCTGCGGCTTCCTGGAGACCACCTCGGCTCTGGCTCCAGGCTGAAGCTGCCCTGGGACCAGAGTCCTGAGGTAAGTTACTAAAAACAAAGCCGGGCCGGCCAGCCCTCCTCCCTGGGCTGGGGGTCGACCGGGCAGAGCCGTGGGCTGCACGCACAGCAGCCCTCGCCTCGCATGTGAGGCAGCCCTCTCCCTCCCTCTCTGGGCTGCAGCGAAGGTTTGCAGACAGCTCCCTTTCCAGCCCACAAGAGGAGACAGGCGGATGAGTCATCGCGCTGGCTGGGATGAAAGCAGCATGATTGTGTTAGCAGAAATGGATCTATTTCATTATCTGTTTTTTGACACCTTACAAATAGATAGGCTCTTCCCACTAGACAAGCAATTTCCTTTAAACACCAATGATTTTGTTTGCTGGAGTTAGGAAATGACCAATGAGTGTTAGAAACTCGTGTGTCTGAGGCACTGCCAGGCTGAAAAGATGTAGTGGAAACACTGAGGAAGGTTTAGAAGCCTCAGCCTCTAGCGTCACGTCTGCAGAGTGATGCCACTCTTCTAAAAATACACAGAGCAACGGCACAGACCCGTTCGTTCCCCTTTTACTTTCCTAAGAGCTTCTTTCTCCAAGAGAAATATAGCATTGGGCTTGCAAAAGGGGGTTCACCCCATCGGACTCAACTGCTGCGGGGGGAGGGCCAGGGGCACTATTTTCAGAGCTTCCTTCTCTCACACAAAATTTTCCACACAGGGAAGACAGATAAGGTATGTGCTTCTCCTGCTCCTGGAGCTCACAGTGCGCCAGCAGCCGTTTCCCTTTGTCTTGTTGTCCCACGACAGCAGATTGCACATCGTGGGAAATTGGAATGCAGACACTATTTAGTTTGGATCGCTCTTTTCCATTGTTTAATTCCACAGTCAATCTTTCATTCTGCGAATGAATCCAGGAACTTCAAAAGGATAGGTATTGGTTATGTGAAAACGTCCAAACATTTGGGGGCATTCTGATCGGTTCTTTCTCCTCCTCACCCCCTAAGCGCCCACCCAGGGACCAAAATGACCTGGTCTTCACGACAGGCTCTGGCCTGATGGGCAACACGTGTGCTTCCCAGACTTGGTGGTTGCTGCTGATCCCTTTCCAAACACAAGCGCACCCCCTGATTTTTTGCTGTTATAAGTAAAATGTGTCTAAAACCACATGCACACAGCCCAGACCATCTGCCCACTCAGAACTACCAAAAATAAAACACAAAAGCCTTCCACAATGGGCATGTAAAGGAGGTCTGAGGCCACAAGAAAGTTTTGCACCCCTGTTGCTGGATGTAAAGTGTCCTTTAGGGGAAGCCTTTGCAGTGCGGCATGCTGTGGTCTGAAGCCATTGCCTATTCTCCCTCAGATCTGCAAAGCGAATGCAGCAAACTTTTCAGCGGATCCCAGCTATTTGTCTTCTGAGTATGCACTTGTACCTCAATGTGCCCCTTATTTTTTCTTCTTTTGTTAAAATAAATAAATAATAATAGGGGCCAGTGAGATAGTTTAGCAGACTACAACCCTGCTTAGGCAAGTTTAGGCAAGTACAGGAACCAGCATTCGACCCCCAATCCCTGGTGCCACATGCTGCGCCCCCAGGGCAGGCTGAGCCAGCCGGAGTGCAGGTGTAGAGGCACACGCCTGTAATCCCAGTGCTGGGAGGCTGAAAGCAGGAGGATCATCACAAGGCTGGGCTGCATAGTGAGTCCCTGCAACAACCAAATACACTAATAACAATAATTATTATTATTTTTATTAATTTTATTGAGAAACAAATAGCAATAAGAGTTTCAAAACTGATTAATAGGGCAGTTTCAATAATGAATACGTTGCATATTGTTGTCTTTATATTTTGTTTTTCTACACGGGATCCTTCAGGTCAAAGAATGCATGTTCTTCTGGGTTATTCAAGATCTGCCCAGAGAAATAGAGACAGACAGACAGACAGACAGACAGACAGACAGACAGACAGAGAGATCCAGCCACTCTTGGTACTTTGCAGCCCACTGCAACTTTCCTCACTGAAGTGCACAAGCTTGATCACCCGAGAACTCCTGACAGCACGCAGTGGAGTTGCAGGTGCACTCTGGGAAGCGCCCAGCCCCTCCACAGGAGTGCAGAGGCAAGACTGGCTCCTGACACTGCATGCACCGCCCCCAGCCTGAGGCCCCCAGCCTGAGGCCAGGTCGCTGTGGGAGACCCTGAGCTCACAGCTAATGGATCTACTCTCTGAGGCCCAGTCCCTACAATGGGCCTCCCAGTGGGTTGGAGTCTGCAAAATTGTCACCTTCAACCATTTTATGACCTCCAAAAAGCATTTTCAAAAGACTCCACCTAAATTCATCACTCACTTAAGGTTGTATGCAGTGAACAAGGCCAGATAGGAAGCGCTGAGAGGGGAACTGAAGCCTTTTCCTGGTTTCTCTTCTCGATTTCTTCTTGCTTGCATCATCAGTTTGAAATCTCTACAAGCAGTTTATAGGAAGAGGTGGTTTTAGCAGAGTGTTAGTGCTTTGTTAACAAAGATTTAGAAACAAAGGCACCCCTGCTCATTTATTCTGGCACCTCCTCAGTTTGGTCTCTTAATTAGTAAATATTTTTTAAAAAAATTAGTAAATGAACTTACAGAAGACAGAGTTTGTTTGTGGCACACACACAAGAGGAGACTATTGAGGATGGTTAGCACTTGAGTTTAATCCCTTCCGCAAAGGAAAGGTTTTTAAACTATTGCTAGCTGGGGCACACCTTAATCCCAGCACTCTGGGCCTGGCGGGAGGATCGGAACACCCTACACAATTACTGACTTACTGGGACCATATCTGAAGATAAAAAATAAAAGCTGGGGATGGAGCTCTGGTGGAGCCCCACTCAAGCCCTAGTAACGAATAATAATAACAACCATCATAGTAGAAACACAAAAGGAATTCCTGCCTGTGGAGCTCGATGGGCAGGGCCAGGGCAAGCCGGGCAGGATCCCACGTCCAACCTGCCCGGACAGGCCTGCGCCCCCGCCCCACCCACGCCGCGAGGAGGCCGAGGCAGCGCCCTCTTCAGCTCCCTGTCTGACGCCAGGCCC